ATGAGCAAACGAAAAAGGTGACGCAGCTTGGGGAAGATGACTGGTGAAATATGTAAATCGGCACGTATGTTTAATTTTCTGCAGAAGTAAGCTGAACACAACCTTTATCTGAAAAGTGTATGCGGGGGGGGGGGGGGGGCAGTTAACACTGCTGGACACCGCCTTGAAAAGTGGGAGGCCACGGCCCCCAACCCCCCCCCCCCCCCTCCCCCGTTCGAACACCCACGCATTCAACACAATGGCGGAAAGCGACTGGACATAATTGATATTTTTTTGATGGACGAAGTGGATTTTCATTGCACTGCGTTGAGACGGGATAAACGACATTGGAAACATTTTTTACTTCCGTTCACTTTCATACACAGCAATGGAGACACTGCCAGTGCACCCGTCGTATCAAACACACCAAATCAGTGAAAAAAACATTCCTGATACACGAAACCACAACGCACGAAACAGATATCACACAGCGCACACTCACATATGCGAACGTGAACACTTCCAGGAGCCCACTCAGGCGGGATGGGAACCGGGCCTACAGCCTTGCCGGCTCCGGCCACGGCTTGGCCAGGTCTGGCGGCCTGTGGGTTGGACCGTCAGCTCTACGCGCCAACTCGTCTGAAAAACGCACCCACCCTTCCCGAGCCGCGCCCACTTTCGCCACAGTTAGAAAAGGTGATTTTAAAGGTCAATGATCAAGTTTGCAAAGACGTTCGTCATTCCTCTTTTTACCAAAGGAACCTTATTGAACGTGTGTGATATCGGTGCTTGTTATGTCCGCTTTCATCAAAATTTCAAACACACTAACTCATAACGTCACAGGTCAAGATCGTTACCAAAAAGCAAACCAGGTTTTAGGATCGTGACATAGCAAACAAATGGCTGCGTATTTTTTGTGTGCAAAACTGGAACTGGCAGGCTTTGCCGGGATTTTGTTGCTTTATCCTTTATTTCAATTATTTTTAGCAAATGCACCTAACAATCATTAACTCCTGCTTTTGTTGCCATCAGCCGCAAGCCATGTAATGCAGGGGTATACAGCGATTGCTTAAAGCAACCTTTAACTCACCCTATCATGAGTGGATGGATCGGAAAGCCGTCGCCCTAAAACAACTTTCGAGGCAATATAGGCATCGTGTTCCTGTATAGACTGTTTTGCTCCAGTCTTTCTAATAACAGTGATAAGTAATTTTGAACACGGCTCAGCCAAATGAAATGCAGCAGGCCACTTTTTTCCGATAAATTCTATGCATTTTTTCTTGACTACCCTCAGATATGGCACCATTAACAGTCAAATGTCGATAACCTGACGCGAAGTTGTTCATACAAGTACTCCTAGGGAGTGCATGCAGATATTGGGTAGTCCACAGTTCATCTTCGCCGCATGTCAGCAAGACGACTTGCTTCCATGAGCTCGTGCAAAAATACGATTTTTTGCTACGGATGTGTCTCTCAAACGGGTCATGACCTGTAACGGTGGACCATATGTGGCTATAGATCACGCCCCAGGACAGTGTTAACGTAGGGAAAGGGACACGGCTCAGGGACGATGCGTTAGCCCGTGGACGCGGTGGGGTGGGATGCGGTGGTGCCGGCGAGTCGCACGCCGATCGTGTTGCGGGTGGGCTTGAAAGGAGTATAAGAGGTGCTGCTCGGGGCGTGTAGAAAGAGTCTCCCCGTCGGCGTTGCGTGCGGCAGTTCGCCGTTGTGTGTGGGGTGGTCCGCCGCGATGTGGCTCCGAATACATGACCTTAAATAATTTCGCCTCCAACAGTGCCGATGCACTTTCCATTTGCGTTTCTGCGCTGAATTGTTCGGCAGAGCTGCTCTCATCATGGTTAACCCCGGTAGACGCCTGGACATAAAATCAGTTTTCCGGGCTTCGAAATCGCGAGCGCGATAGTAAGAAGGGTCGTGCGTGAGGGCCGTGATCACGGCTGTTGTAGAACGTGATTAAAGGGCATCGGTGCCGTCTAGCCTCGGAAAATGGCTTGGGAATTCTGGAATCCTGAACGCGCGATCAAGGTCATAAAGGTGACTGGCCCAGTAAAAACGCAAAATTAAGAAATCCAGAGTTTGCATATGCACGAGAATGGTAATAATTTCTGAGGGTCCCAATGGAATCGTCGCGCAGGCAAGTTATCGACGCTCCACGATTCCGGTGCGTTCCGCGGCGGGCGGCGGAACGGCACTGGGATTGGCTCCCAGCCTACCAGCGTCGCCGGTCGGACCTCAACCTTCATGCTTGGTCGAGGAAGGGTGCGTGTCGGCCAGCCCGCCAAAAAAGATGAGGGTGAACGAGCACCAATACGCGCCCGACACAGCTCGGCATCAGGCGGCTCCGTACTGTTTGAGATCATACGCTGACGAAAATCAGTCCCCAGGCCCCTAGTTGGCCGTTACTAAAATTCCAGGTCACGGCATGACGGGTGGGGGGCCGGGCCCGAGTTCAGTTGAGCTCCAAAAGATCGTTGGTCCCGAGGACACTTCGGTCCCTCCTCGGACCTCCCCAAACAAAGCCTGTGACCGAGTAGGGGCCACTAGACGACACATCACCTCCTGTTGGATACTGCGGTCCCTGACCGACACAGGGGACTCTCCATTGTCTCGGGGACCCAGACCAATGCAATTCGTGGCCATCGGCCACGCATATGCTGGAGAAATGGAAGCCCATAGTCACAGGAATTGACCTTTTCCGTGTTAGCGGCCACTGACCAACTAAGACGCCCGCATTTTCTCATGGTATCCTTAAACGATGCAAGAGGATGTTTGACTGATATTTCAGGCCACGACCCTACGGGCCGCGATTTTTTATGTGACCTACGGCCAGTCATTAGCGTCTCTATGTTCTCCGACTGGGCATTTGTTCGTCAGTGCCAGTGGGGCACCCGGACCCCTCTTGGAGTCCCATCGAACACTGCCATTGGTCGGCTCGGGACCCCTTGCGAGCACATGACCCTCCGTGAGGCGCTGTGGGCCCCTGAAAGATACAGGTGCCTCGACCAGTGTAAATCAGTGGCCCCAGCTTTGAACCTGATTGGGAAGTGGATCCTCAGGCCCATATCGACACGGAGCCGACTGTGCGGTATTGACGGTCCCCGACCAACATATAGGCCCATGTCAACTCAGGGGGTCCCCAATCAGTGCAAAGGGCCCTCTGACTGCCATTTGAGGATCCGTTCCCTCAGACCGGGCACCCTGAATAAGAATCCGACCAGCCCTTCGTGCCCTTAGACCCTCCAATTGGGCCATTGATCGTCGGACCCGGTCGGCCCTCCAGGCTCTCCAGGACTCCTTGAATATTGCATCTGTCCGAATTGGGGCACCTTGTCAAAACAGGGTCACCGTTAGGCACTGTGTTGCTCTGACAGACGATGAGGCCTCAACCTATGTGAATTGCTGACTCTGTCTTTGTTCCTGCTTGGGAAGTAGCCTCTCAAGTCCACGCCGCCACGCGGCGTTACTGGTAGTGTCTGACCGATAAATAGGCCCTTATCGACTCCGAGGGTCCCTGACTATTGCACAAGACCCTCTGGCTGGCATTGAAGGGCCCGGTAATGCGGTCCGGGACCCCTGAATGCGACCTCCGGTTGGTCTTTCGGTCCCTTCGGGCCCTCCAATCGGGCCGTAATCGTAGCCCGAATGGCCCCTTGGGACTTACGGCTCGTAACCTAAGGACAGGGACATAACCCCTGTGCCCCCTACCTGCGCTAATGGCTGCACTGCTATAAAAACCTGCCCATCTAGGGCCACACTAAATCGCTATCTGAACGGTAGCTACCATGCTTTAGCTTACGAAAAACGGCCACCCAAAATAAATTTGGGCAAAAGTATATTTTTGCTTACTATGCCGACACCCGTCTGTGCTGTTCCTGGCTCCTGGTATACAAAGGTGTATAGCTCAGTCGAAGAACTCTGAATTCACCCTGAGGGGAATTTAGTCGTACATTCTCTGGGATTGCGGTGCTACTTGATCACAACGCCATCTGCTCGAAGTATGAATCCGTGCGCCATTTTGTCTGAGTGGTGCTGTGCAGTTGGTCGCCGTGGCCGCGCTCGTGGAGGATCTTGTAGCTGGGGCGTTGCGCTCTCGTGGTGGGTGTTTTTGCATAGGTGTCTTGCACGTCTCGCCTGTTATGCTGGCACGGATTTCATGTCAGCCCAGGTTTGCAGCAGTTACATTCGCATGCAATGACGCTGCGGTCGGTGGATTTTAGCATTCAAATGTCTGAGCTGGCAGGGGACTAACAAGTCCTGACGGTCGTTCCGGTCGTCTTCTGGTTGCTGAATGCGATGTAACTGTCGTGTCATTGGAGGGCTGGTATGGTCTTGGGTGGGCCAAGAGCAGTGTCAGCATAACCTCTGGAGATCAGATGGGGGCAGCCATGAGTTTTGCCTTGTCTCTTTCCATGCATGACCATGGGACTAGTATTAAACATTACCTGGAGTTCAGGGCATAAGGGGTAGCTGTCCCCACTTCTTGTTGAACCTCTTGCTGGTGTGTGCTAAGCTCAGGCCAGGCTGAACTGTGCTTATGGTTAAAACTTGTCCTTTCTTGCCTAGCTTGCCCAGTCTGTCCAGTTCTATCTTTTTTGTTTGTCTGTAACAAAAGAAAAATGCATAGTTATCATTAAGATTGTGTAACTGTCAGTTACTTGGTAGGACAAGCCATTTGGTGTCATTTTGCAGGTTTTGGTGTGCAATGCATGCACCTTGCCTGGCTGATTGTCTCCTTTGCTTTGTGTGTTAAAGATCACATTATGCATGTGATTGCAGTTTGATTGTCCATACATATTTTACATAAGGGCTGTGTTAGCAGCACATATACTAGCTTAGGGAAAGCACCTTTTATGTGGGCACTGACTCCCACCCAGGTGGCTCAGACTTCAGGGCAATTTGCCCACCTTTTGGCAGAAAAGTGGGTGGTGATGTCTGGATGTGGAGAATATGAGGATACCAGCAACATTCATGTGCATGAAGATGTGTACTTGTTTCAGATAAGCATGGCTGCATCTCAGAAGTTTTGCCTTAAATGGAATAACTTCCAAAATAGTGTTACATCAGTTTTTGACAACCTTCGTCAAGATGAGGAGCTGGTGGACATTACATTGTGTTGTGAGGGCAAGAAGATAAAGGCACATAGAATGATGCTATCTGCATGCAGTCCATACTTCAGGGATCTGTTCAAGGTGAGTGCTGTTCAGATGGTTGAACTGCTATTTATTGGCATAACATGCTTATGCACCTCCTGTGTAAATCTCCAGGAACTACTTTTCAGCATTGCCCTGTTATAGCAAGGTTAGTATGGATTCTATGACTTTTGATTCAACTTTAACAAATGGGCAATGGGGTAAATACTCAATATGATGGACTGGATTGAGTGGTAAAAATAGTGAATAATTAACAAGTCATGGCTTCCCCACAGGACAATCCATGCCAGCATCCACTTTTCTTCCTCAAGGACACATCATATGTGGACATTGCAGCAGTCATTGAGTTTGTCTACAAGGGTGAAGTAAATGTCCTCCAGAGTCAGTTGGGCAGCTTCCTGAAGACTGCAGAGATGCTCCAAGTCAAAGGCCTCTCAGGAGATGATGATGATGAGCAGGTGGGTGCCAATTGTTTTGCAGTTATTCTGGTACTGCAGATTGGTTATGGTGCTAAAAGGACCTATTAATAAGTATTTTTAACACACAGAGGAATGCTAGCAGTGCAACAGTTATGCTGCATGTCTGCTGCTGGCTCAGTCTGGGCTGCTTAGTACATCATAAACCCTAATGACTCAATGTAACCACATTTTTGCCTGAAGTGCAAGCCAGGGACCTAGGGCACAAAATGACTAAGGTAGTTGGTGTGCCCTAAATCTCCAATCAACAAGCCAGGGACCTAGGTCTATATTTTGTTCAGCATCTGTGCACAACCAAAACTGTTGTTTTCAGCCTAAACTGAGTAGCACCCATTGATCACACATGATCTGTGCTCACTGATGGCTGCCACATGTTTGGCAGGTGCCCCGATCTCAGCCAGTTGCGGCGTCCCATGCGACGGAGCGGCCTCGTCTGGCTGCAGGACCGCCGCTGCCCGCTGCACCGGCCGGCCGGCCGCGGCCGCGCGAGCCGCCCGATGCGCCAGCCTCGCCCCGACACAAGCGGCGCCGCCTCTCCGGGTCGACAGGCAGCCGACCCGACTCGCCAGTGGCGGTGCACACAGCGCCGGTGGCACCCCCGCCCCCTCCCCCCCCTCCGCCACCGCCACCGCCGCCGCCCATGGTGACGCCGCCGCAGGAGCCGGCCGGGGACGGGGTGGTGCTGCCGGCGGCAGCGGCGCCGCTGCCACCGCCGCGGCCGGCCACCTCCGCCGCGGACCCGGCCGAGTCGCCGACGCCACACCGAGAGCACCAGCCGCCCGCCCGTGATGACTTCATCAAAGTGGAGAAAATAGACATTGCCGACGACGACGATGACGAGAGCTTAGAGGCCACGCTGGGCCAGGTGTCGACGTTCGAGGCGTCTCAGTTCGACGGGTCAGACCACTCAGCAAGCTCAAACGACATGGCGGGCCTGCTCAGCAGGGTATCAGAGCAAGGTATGCATGCCTCTGTGCTCAAGAACTGGGCTGTCGCGTCATGTCACATTGGGATTGGAGCTACATAACACAAGTTGTTACTGAGTGCAAACATCCAGTCAAAGTTCAGACTGACAAGCTGATCATGGATATAAGCAGGTTTGTGTGGTTGGTCTCTCATTCCAGCTGCATATAAGTCATTAGTTTTCATCCATACCCAAGGTTTGTTATCTCACCTGCTGATTGCAGGTGTGAACCATGGTCAGTATGTTCATCGCTGTTTCTCCTGCAGGTGGTGGTGAGATGCTGACAGCCTGGAACATCAGAAGATGGAGCCTCACAAGGTTAGTCCATTTACAAGCTTTAACTATCAGGTGTTGCCCTGGGTGATTTGGAAATTATTGCTTTCTTTCTGCCAAATTGTACCATGTCATTCCTGGGCTGGATGGAGGCTTGCAGCAAACTTGCATAAGATGCAAGAGAGTCTCAGCATGGGATGGTCAACAGAGCCATACTTCCTCTGATGTATGGGTTCTGCCTTTCAGGGAGTGATCCCTTCCCAAACCACTAACAGGAACTGCTGAAAGTGAAACAAATCTGGAAGCCTTTGGAGGCAAGATAAGGTTGACCTGGATGACCAAGCAACTGCCAGTCAGATAGCCTTCTGAAATTTGATGAAAGATGATACTCAGTTTCAAAATTTGGTCTGCCTGTATCTCATCACTCAGAACAAAAGCCAGAGTTTCCGGGATATGAAGTGTATGGATTGCAGGCATGTACTGTGTTTGTGTTATTAAGCCTATTTCTTGGTCTGTGGCTTCATTGTTCAGACTTCTTTGTCAGGCACATCATGTGCTTTCCTCTTTTCCTGTCCAAGCAAGCTGGACTGCGACGGATGTTCAGAGTCGTCATGTGCGCTTAGCCCCGGGGACGGGTGTGGGTGGATAGGGCAAACACCTGATAGCCTTTCTGTGTTATTTAGCGATTGTTGTTGGTATTCTCGTACTGCCTCTGTGACTCGGCGTGCACCAGCTCGTAACGTAACGGTAACCGTTGTAGGTAACGTAACGGTAACAACGGTGTGACGGTGCAGTAAGACTACAGTAGTTGCGCGATGTTCGCTGATAAACGATGCATTGTTGCTCACCGTTCTATCCTTGCTGTTAACTGAGTGCTTGCCTCGCGTGAAATTAAGCCACTCCCCTACCTCAAATTGCTTAGTCAAGGGACGATCTCCGCTGGGTGGCTAGGTCGCTCCAGGGTTGCCGTATTGTCGCTGGTCGGGGGTGGGATCAGCCGGCTCTGCTCGCGCGGGTCGCTTCTCTCGGCTGGTGGTCCCTCCTGGAGGCGCGGCCGCGCGCCGTCTGGCGGATCGAGGCCGCCCGGTCCGCCGCCGGGTGGCTGGGCCGACACATCGGCGCCGGTGGGACCCATAGGCCGGTCCGGTGCCGTCCGTTCTCACCCGGTAGATGAGGGCGGCGCCGTTCCGTACGAGAATACCATCAACACTGCTGCCTCGCCTCTGTGTCTGTGCGCGCGCGTGCGCGTGTGTGTATGTGTGTGTGCGTGCGCGTGTGTGTTTATTTGGGTGTGTGTGATGTGTGCTGTGAGTGTGCTGGCGAGCGTTCGCCCCGCCCGCTGGCGCCCGCCGGTACCTCCTGCCGCCAGACACTCGTGCCGTCCAGCGGTGCCGCCAGCAGCAGCGCCCGGGCCCGCCGCCCAGCCGCTGAACCGGCCGACACGCAAAACACACTGTCAGCGGTATCTTTGGATATATTTGCGGACAATTAGGCTGCTGTAATGTTCATACAGACCCATAAATTTAATGAGGTGAGCGTACTCGCAAGAGAAAAGAACGGTGGCTTAGCGTATTGCAATGTCCTGACCTGGCTTCCAATAAGTCCCTTTTGCAAATGCCGAGGTGAGGGTTTTGGGCTTATGGTAGCAGTGATCGATGTGCGCATCAGCGTTTTATACTGGTCTGGTGCTTTCCTGAGGACGACCACAGCTCCCTGCCGATGATAAATTGAACCGCGGCTGAGCGACGGCGGAATCGCTTTGCGTCTATCGCGAGGCGACACCGCTAACGTCCCGGACAGCGCTGTTTAAAAATTACTGCCTTTGGTCAGGTCTAATACATGGTCGACGGTCAAGGCCTCAGTAGCCCGTCTCACGTCCTGACATATGCCGGATGTCCTCCGTGCCGAGCAGTAACTTGAGACTCAGAAGCCGTGTTACGGCTTGGTCGTCTGATCAGCCAGACAATCCTTGCGGCGCACGCACAGCGCTTGCGACACCCTGGCGACGGGCGTACCGGTGGCCGCTCGGGCAACCAGTGGCGGGCCAGGGCGGCGTCGCCGCTGCTGCCGTGGCGGCGGCGGCGGCCAGACGTCGTGTATGGTGCGGCGAGTCTGCCGGCCCCGGCCCCCGGCCCCGGCAGCCGGCGGCCCAGCGACAGCTGGGCGCGGCCGACCGCAGCCGGCGCGCGGCGAGTGAACACTGGGTAACGCTCGGGAAAGGCATCGGGGATTGGGGCGCTGCGTTGTCGACGGGGTGGTTTTGGGGCGATCCCGTTGAAACATTTAACGGATGAAATCGTAGCAAGAATTCTCCTGACATGAAAAGTGTGTCTGACGGATATTTCAACGAGAGGGATCAGTCGAACACCGTATGGTATTCTGTGAAGTCAAGCAAGCACAATGCCTGTGGACTTGATCGTGGCAAACCATGCGCCAAATGCATGATACCAAGGGACTATGTGTAGATGGGATGAATATTTTTTGCAATCCTTGAACAGCGGAAGATGCTGCTACTAAGTGCTTCTCATTGATGGGGCTACAAGTGCTGCTGAAAATTTTGAGTTCTTTGAAACTCCGTCCGGTTCGTTAACTTATATACTGATGTTTAAGCCCTTGACACATTGGTGACAAGTCTGGCGACGGCTCAGATGCACACCAGTCCCGGAAAGAAAATCCTCACACTTTCCGCGCTTTACTCTGCTTAGGCTAACAAAGCCGATCAATGCCCATCTATACGTGAGCAACTGGCGCTGAACACACACGAGAGATTTTAACGATTGGTTCAATTTCAGCTCGACAAGAATTATATCAACTGCCAATGCCAGGAGCCCTGGACGGGTGATGTATCTTGTGCGCACTGCTGACAAAGTAATCCAATGTTTGGGTGTGCATGAGTGTGTAAGCGCTGTCGCACTCTAAGCAGCAAAACGGCTACCGCATATGGCGGCTACGACTGCCGGCGGTCGGCGCTCGAGACTGTCGGTGCGGGCGGGTGAGCTGGCGCTGCGGGGCCGCTGGGGGCCGGCATCGCTCTCCCCCCCCCACTCCCCGCCCCCTCCTGCGCAG